CTGCTGTCCTTCTGTCTTCTTCTCTGCCTGTCCTGGTCTCCTCAACCATCTTCACCCTGCCCCTGTTTCATTATTATTCATTGACTCTCTTATGTTGTTACTTTGTGTTCTTTTTTCCAGTAAACCACCATTTTTTCACTAGCACCTGGGTCAGCACACTTGAGTCCAACCCCAGTTCTCCCTTCACCCTCCTGGTGAGGGGGACTCGACCATAACAGGTGGTGATGATGTAGCAATGTTGCTCAGAGGTGAAAGCTTGTGACAAGGCTGTGGTTTGAGGAGAGGTAACAGGAAGGGGCAAGAGTTCACTTGGACAGTCAAGTGTTGCCCCATTAGAGGTCTTAGTTTAATAGGGAGGACACACAGTGCAGACCATGGTGCAAGTTTCCATATGATGTGAAGGTCCTCCTTTCTGTCTGGTTTCTCCACTAGGAGGAGTGTTTCTGTTGAATTACAAAAACGGTACCTGCTAATATGCACCAGTGTTTCATGTCAAAAAGCTTAGAGTAAACCCACTAGGGTGCCATTATGCATCCATAAAGGGAAGGAGTTTCTTTCAAATCACAATAATTCTTTGGGGTGTTATCTTTAGCAAGCCTGATTACAGGAAGGTCAGAGGGGTTAGAGATTAATGGTCCATCGCTTAAGGAAGAGGGAAGTGTCTGCGTGCCCTCATCGTGACAGGATATGAAGACGGGGGATTGAAAAGGAGGGTCGAGAGGTTCCAGGGCTCTTTTGGTGGAGGCTGCGGAATGTCCAGACACGAGACAGAAGACCATTTTAGGCTGTACACCTGTTTTGACATGCTTTCTGATTGTAATAGTCCGGTTCATATTAATCTTGTATCTCAGAAAATCAATTTAGTAACTTTTTAAATTTTTTATTAAACCTTTTAAACAAGGGAGAGACCCCATGTCCGGAGGGGAGCAGCTTCTAGGACATAAAGGGATTGTCACTCCTCAGGCTTGATTCTCTGGGTATACTGTGGTCAGCGAGTTCCCAGAGGGAGTAAAGTTGCACTCAGAAGGTCTTGGAGTCTCATATATACATGAAATATTCATATGCCGTCGGGACACCCCTCTGTGTGTGACTGAGCTTGTGTTTACATAACAGGTTTAATTTTATTTTTCTTTAATATGTACTGAATATCAGTCTGCATAGAATTGGATACACCCACACTGCACACTTTCACATACAACTTAATTTAATAATCTCTTTGTCATGTCTGTTGTCTCATCTTTTATGTCCTTTATCCTGTAAATGGTATTTTGTGTTGCAATTAAAAAACAAAAAGACCACTTTTAAACATGGTAAAAGCAACAAACCTGTTGTGTGATGTTTGGAGCTTTTGGAGTGAGCTTGTAGTATTCACCAGTCACTCAGTGAGAGGCCTTTCACTTCCTGAACATCCCACATCATCGAGCCAGATTTGGCCAGTTATTTGACCAAAGTATGAGCCATGAGCACTCAGTGCTGTACCACGGCCCAATCGTTTGCAAACAACCTGAGACAAAGGATGCGCTGTATAATTGTACGTCTTCAGTGGCAACACAGAAGATAGAAAACTGAATTAAATGCAGAACCACCACACAATATTTTCTCCCGCAAAAACACTTCCTCCTTTCTGGTGTTTTATGAAGTGAGCCTAAGTATTTTTCAGGCTATAGAAAGCAGTGGACAGCTGTTAAAATCAAGCCATGCATCAATCACCTACACAGCATAGGTGTGTAGTTTGGTGCTTGTTGGAGACCACAGTTAAAGTGAACGCAGTATATTTTTGCAGAGCTTGGTGCTGCAGTTAGCACTGCTTCCTCATACTACAGCAAGACGGTTGTGGGTTTGAACCTGCTGGCTGATGATGCTCTATATTAAAATATGAGTGGAGTCAGATTTTCTGTGCTTGCTTGATCAAGGTCTGGCCATTCATAAGCTTTTCACAGCAAATTTAAACTGGTGACAAATGTGTGATTTCAGCTGAAATAATAGGTTACCATACCAAGTAGTATTATCATAATGTTTGACAGTTAAGGTTAAAAAAAAGCATTAATTTCGGTTCAACTCCACAAGTTACAGCCTTTGTTGTAGTTTGGAGCACATTGTGTTTGAAAGGGTAAGGTTCAGTATGACGGGTGGTGGTCGACAGAACAGTCACTTCTCAGGTGCAGGCTTTATTAATTCCAGTCTTACCAGTCATACACAGCACGTATGTACAGTATAGTGGACCCAGGACCAAAGACTGTATCCTAATACTTATAGTGTTCTTTCCTACTTTATGGAGCGCCTCTCTAACTTGACTGGACAGCTAATAGCCCTTATCCATCAGCCCACTTTTACTGTGCAGAGCTGGGCAGGCATGCGTTGGCCTCCATTTCCATGTGTTTCTAAGGACATGTTCAGACTGAGTTTCAAAGGTGTGAAAAACACCTGGGGGTACAGCATGGGGGAGGAAGGCCAGGTCACTGTTTTCTTTCCCTTAACTGCATCACTGGACTGCTGAAAGCCTCTTAGACAAGTTCCCTTCTCAGGGTCTGGGAGCTGTTTAGGAGGGGAACACACCACACATTGGATCAGGTCTCTTCTGTCAAAGTCAGGGGCTGACCCCGAGCTGTTACTTACTCCCAACAATCAACTATTAAGTCACGACATGTTACTAGAGGTCGTGTGAGAATGTTTTTAGCTACACACCACTTAATCAACAGACACACACACACACATTGATTTGCTTCATCTTTCGACTACTGCTATGGCCAGCTGCAAAGCTGGCAACAGAGACGTCTCGGTTGACGTTTCTGTGTAGTATGGGGCTAGCCCAACCGAAGGGATATAATGTATAGGCCTGGTGGGTTCAGGGTCTTTCATCTTACATCTGCCTGTGTGCAGGTTGGAGGTGCAAGATACCTGAGCGTGTAATGTTAATTTTACCTGTGATCCTTTGAATAAATAGACTAGAATTGAACCTGGAGCGCTTTGTGTTCACAGTGTACAGATTAAGCGAGCCTCATCACGGACTTGAAACAAAGTGAACTGAAACCATCTCCACAGGGGGTCTCAGTGCAGTATGTTTCACAGGGGTCAGAGTTCATTTGAGTGTTCACATTTACACAAGAAAAGCTGACTAATCGCTCCGAGTTCGTTTTGAGGGCTGAAAGGAACCAAGTGGGAAAACACGCCAACTGTTCCAGCCACACTTCTCCACCTCCATGGTTAATTTGTGTAATTCAGTTTCTTCTTCTCATAAGCTGTATCTACAGTGTCCTCCCAGGGAACCATAAACTAATAAATAATGTACACAGTCCACTGTGCTTCTGACCACAACTAAAGGTCTGGTCTGAGTTTAGGGCTGATTAACTCCTCAGGAACTATGAGCTGATTCTCTAAAACTACTTTGATTTGTCACCCTCTCCCTGCCTTTATCTGGCCTACACCCTGCTTGTTCAAAATGACTTGCTTCATGCCTTTTTCCCTCACGATCCTCACGGACATGACATCTTTTTGTTTCTTCTTGTGCTCTAGATTTTGGGTCTAAGCGCATAATTTCAATAGATTCTGCTAAACATTTCAATTCATATCTCCAGCTTTGTTTGTCCTTGAGGCAGGCTTGTAATAGATTATTACTTGGGTGCTGCAGCATTAAAAACAAATAACAGAACATGAAAGAGGAAGTCTTCCAGTAGAGGCAACTAGTGTGAAGTTTTTCCTCTGCAAAACACGACTTTTAGTTTTCTAGTTGATCAGCGATAAGAGACACAGACTTATTCAACCTTCATCTGAACCATGAGGGGCAAACAGAGAAACCTTCACATTTTGACCCTTGGTAAGACATTTTTCTGAAATGTATTTGGTGTTCCTTTCTTGTGTACAGATAGTATACATAGGCAGGAGGTCTCGGAGTATTTTGTTTACACTTCCATCACTCCAGTTTAATACAAAAACAGTGAGAATGTTCTTTTTAGCACTTTCCAGATTTCTGAATGCAATGAGCATTTCTTATCCTGTAGTCTTTCTTTTGATATCATCACCTATTGCAGGTAAATCCATTCTACTGTGTCACATAAAATCTTTTTAGTTTTAAGCAAAATGTTTGTGTCATGTGTCTGACAGCTGCTCGTATCAGATTAGCTGGGTCTAGTTACACTGCGTGCTCTGGAAGAGTTGAAATCCTTTACAACAACACCGGGGGAACAGTCTGTGATGATGACTGGGACCTGAATGGTGTTGCGGTGGTTTGCAGACAGTTGGGCTGTGGTACAGCACTGAAGGCCACAGTACAGGCCCATTTGGGACACATGACTGTGGACATGGTGAGGATGCTGGTGTGATCTGTTCAGGTGAGCACATTTTTGGATCAGATGTAAAAGTACAGAAAATCATATATAGCTTGGTATGGTAACCATACTCTGCAAGGTGCTTTCAGATTTGATTAAAGCTTAAACTACAAATGTAAAATATATACAAATACTCTAATCTCAGACAGCTGATCAGTACTGAAACTACTGTATTAGACTCAGGACTGGGGTGGCGGAGGGATACGGATCTTGGGGAAAACAATAGAATTGTATCAGATCGTCACTCTGTCTGCTTGTACCCTAGGTCAAAGCTCAAGCTAGGGGAGGACCCAAATGCAGACACAAACTGATGCTATGTAACTACTCCAGTTTAATATGAACTAACATGAAACAAAAAGACAAATATATCAACTAAAAGAGCTCAACCTGACAAAACCAACATCTAAAGAAAACTAACTAAACAGCACCATCAGGGAAAAATACAGTGAAACTGACAACACATGTAACAAGACTACTAAACCAAAGGAGACAAAGATCACAACAAACCAAAAACCGAAGGTAGTAAGCAAAGCCCAAATCAACAAAGTCCATGGACGATGCACAAGAGGGAGAGTCCAAGAAATTACATGTAGGCTACATAATAATGTCTATAGCATATCCATGAAGGATTACTGAATGTGGACCTGTCTATTAGGTTTTAATGTGTCTATATTCATTTACTGAAAATGAAAATGAAAATGAACATCAACTTTTGCCTGACTTTCAAAAACACATTCCATTTCTGTCCTGTGTTTCCATCCTAGGTGTCAGATTAGCTGGGTCCACTCGATGCTCTGGAAGAGTTGAAATCCTTCACAGCAACACCTGGGGCACAGTCTGTGATGATAACTGGGACCTAAATGATGCTGAGGTGGTTTTCAGAGAATTGGGCTGTAGTACAGTGCTGAGTGTTACTCCCAAAGCTCTGTTTGGTCAAGGAACTGACCCAATCTGGCTTGATGGTGTGAACTGCTCAGGACAAGAAAAGTCTCTAAGTGAGTGTCGGCATGAGGATTTGGGGCACACAACTGTAAACACGATGCTGCTGTGGTCTGTTCAGGTGAGATGAATCTTGAATCTCTTACTGTAGCTTATATATGCTGCAAAGTCAATTTGCAATAATAAGACACTGGGTGACAGTATGAGGGGTCCAGTGCTGACATTTGTGTACTAGGAGGCAGCACAGTTTGCATATGCATTTTTGAATCCTCTGTCTTTAATAAAAAAGCTTTGCTGACAAAATATTCACTAAGTCTGCACAATAATTAGCTGACGTTGGGTAAAGCTAAGCATTTCCCTGAAATCCCCAAATATAGGAAGTGTGTTTTTCATTTTTAATAATGTCTCATATCTATAAAAAGCATATATAAAGGAATTCTTCTCTGTAAACTTGTATATGAAATATCAAATCCTGACCTCTTAACCTCTTTACTGGTTGTATTTTGTTTTGTTTTGTTTTACAGTGAGCCTGCCAAAGCCCAGCATCTCCATGAGTCCTGCTGATGAGGTTACCTGGGGTCAGGATGTCAGCTTCACTTGTTCCAATTCAGCTGAGCTCCAAAGTATTCTGAAGAAAACTTCAAGCTCGTTCAATAAGACTCAAATGTCACATTCCAACTCTGCTGCCTTCAGTATCCCCACGGTGGACTTTGATAAAGAGGGATCGTACCAGTGTCAGTATGAGAAAATAATTTCAGGTCAAACTTTCAGCTCCCACCTAAGTGACTCTGTCAAACTCTCTGTTACTGGTATGTAAAAAAGGTTTCTTGAACTTGATGTTTCATTCACATGAAGAAGTCACAATAAGTATAGCCCAGCTCAAATGGCCAGAAAACATGACTTCAGATAAATTAGTCTTGCTGTGTTGGGTAACTACACAATTGTTTGCTAACATACTTGCCCTATTAATTTTTCTATTGCCCCCAAATTGCCAAAAGAAGATTTATGCCGGTTTAAAGCTTGGAGAAAAAGTAGGATGCCAAAGTTCTGGTTTCTTATAAAGTTAGAAAATAGACAATTAATTTTCAAAGTATTAAAATTATACAGTGTACATTAGTAAAGGGTGTCAACTTGTGTAATACGTTCATCAAGATCTGACATGTGATTTAGTGTTTCCTTTTTCTTTTTTAGCAGTGTATATACCTTGCTTACACTGTTTTCTTTTTGTTACCCAGTGAGACTGCCACAGCCCAGCATCTCCCTGACGTCTTCTAATGGAGGGCTGGTCCTGAGTCCTGCAGAGGTCACCAGGGGTTACAGCTTTGTCATCACCTGCTCCATAAACTGCAGCTATCCTGATGGCCGTTTCTTTCTCATCTTCTCTGGCTCCAACATCATCAGCACCAAGTCAGCAGTCAACCACTCAGCCTCCTTTGACTTCCCTGTAGCAGAGTATGAACACCAGGGCAACTACAGCTGTGTGTACGGAGTCACACTGTCTGCACAGAGATTCAATTCCACTGAGACAACACCAATTGCTATCAATGTTAAAGGTAAGTACACTGTATAATTTAAGAATTTTTACATTTTATCTAATAAATGAATAAAACAGACTGTAGTCTATTTAACATGACAGTGGTGCTCTAAACCCATGTACAAGGCAAACTGTCATCATAAATCACATCATATGTTTCACGTTGATTTGGTGCAAATCAACGTGCCAACAGGTGCAGTGGAGAGGCAAAAGCAAGACAACCCCCCAAACAGGAATGATTTTCCATGTGATGGCCACAGATAAATGTTCTCTCCTTGTCCTTCCTGACTGGTTCTTCTCAGTTTTTGTGTTTTGCTAGTGTCCTTGTCACTACTGGTAGAATGAGGCAGTACCTGCAGCCCAGTCAAGTTGCACAGGTCGTCCAGTTACTCCAAGATGGCACATCCATACATGTAGTCACAAGAATGTTTGCTGTGTCTCCCAGCACAGTCTCGAGAGCATGGAGGAGATACCAGGAGACCGGCTGTTACACCAGCTGCAAACATTATTCAGGAATGGTTTGAGGAACATGACAAAGAGTTTTGGTGGCACAAGAAGACCTACAGAATATGAAGTTGGTGGGTTTAATGTTGTGGCTGATTGGTGTAAATTGTAATGTCTGTTGGTAAACTTTACAATGTACGAGATACTGGAGTAATATGGTTAACCTGTTAGACTAAAGAGGGAAGCACGGCAGACCAACTAAGGAGGTACGATACATTGCCTGCATCACTGCTTTGGTGTGCAAGCCTTTGGCCAAGTGACAGTCTCAGAACAGTAACTGCTGTGTGTTATCCCAAGGAATATTGGAAGGTCCAGGATGTCAAGGTCTGAGAAAAAAGAAACAACAAGCCGCTGCCATGGCCTTCAAAGCTACTAAGTTCCTGTTCTTCTACCACCTCCCCTTCACAGACTGATTACCCTCTTATGCAGTTAGACTTAAAGTACCTTCTTAGTTGTTTTAATATTTGGTGCTATTAGAGACTTTTATTCATTTTATCCTCCAGCTTTAGTTGATCTGTGCAGCCTCAGTAATTTTATCACCTTTTTATTATTAAATGTTGTTTTGAAACATTACATGTGGTTTGGTTTTTGGATTCTCATCCTGCTCTGAACTGATCAAAAGTATCCTGTGAGAGTGTAGAATCCATCATGCCTGATACTTTCAATGCTCGCATCTTTACACTAGCAGTTTGGAGGTTCATTTGTAACCCCTGTAATGGTACAATTAACAGCAACATACAGGTTGTCTGAACTATTTAGTATTTTCATATTAACAATGGAAAATAATAGTGTGCAATATGACAGTGGGTTCTCATAGCAACAACCCTTAAACACAGCCACACACTGGAGTATTAGAGTTACTCATGGAGTTAGGCACAATAGGTCCTGTCTGACGATCACATTGGCCGTAGTATTCAGGTCTTTAGTTTATTCTTGAGTGCATCGGTTGTCACTCAGTGACAGCCCTCTATGGCTTTCTTGTTGTTTTTACATGTCCTGCTGCAAATCTAGGACTGGCCCAAAATGCAGACTAATGAGGGAGACAGATTGCCAAAGTAAATTAAACAAGGCTTACTTATTGTATAGCCCAGGCAGACAAAACTGACTGATTCTGCCTCTGGTTTTCCTCAGAGTCCAAATCCTAGTAAAAAAAATAAAGTAACAAACAAAAAACCAAACAAACAAAACAAAAAAACAGACAAACAAAAACACACAAACAAAACACCAATAAAAAAATAAAAAATAAAAAAACACCAAAAATCAGCCCAGGCCAAGCAAATAAGCCAGAAGCGTAAGACTAGAGGCAAAAATCCAGCAGAGCCATTTGTCCATAGCCAGTGTCAGTATCTAGTAGGCAATTGTAAAATGATGGCTGGGGTCATACATGCAAAATGGCAGAATCACAGTGAGGCAGACGGAATGGTACAAAATTATAGCATATGAAAACAAGGCAGTATGGACAATTACTGTACAACAACTCCACTAACCTTCCACTATTCAGACAGAGGCCAAGCTGAGTAATTTGAAAAATGAGAAGTTAAATCTGAGAGGGACAAGGGTAAAACACAGTCTATAATCCAAGTGAGGGGGTCAGAGTCTAAAAAAAAAGGATAAACCAAACACGGGGTCCCAAATCCAAGCAAGGTCCAAAGCAGGTAAATAAATTAGAACATGTAAACACAAGGTAAACTAAGAACAAGAAGGCTGGAACATTTACGCTACTGAAGCT